ACTGACAAATCTTCAAGAACTGTTTGTTTCTCTATTAATTGTGCTTCATTTGCTTAGGGTTATCAAGGCCCAGGTAGGAGTTCATCCTAAATGGCTAAGCCAGATGAGCATGTAATCACTAAACATGAGATTTATAGAGATAGCAACGGCCGTAGACATGACATCATGCTCCTCAAGCTGCCAAGAAAAACAACAGTCCGACCAATCGGACTAGCTCTCTGTCCAGATACTCTCCTACTGTAAGTTTTATCTCCTCTAATGTCAGAATTTGGTTCTTGATCTGCAAGATGATGCAAAGTTCATCCAGGAAAACGTTTGGTCTCTGGTCTCCCAGAGTTGGTTGTTTTTCTTAATGTGACTTATTTTTAGTTTTGTTTCTCTTGTGTTTCAGCGGCACCAAGGTTCAGATTGCAGGTTATGGAGCAGCACAGGTTGGCCCGTTTAACAAAAGAGGTATGTTCATGTTTCTCATTGTTTTTGTTGTTACCTCAAAATGATTCATATGATTCAAATCATTTTCAGACTCTGCTGAAACTGAACTTAGCAGCTTGTTGAAGTTTTGATCAAAAACTCTGAGATAAACGGCTTAAAGCTGAAATAGGAAATTCTGAGAAAACTGTGAGCTTAGCCTGAAAATGTGAATTACAGGTCCGTCCCCTGTGAAGTGAGCAGGGTGTACATGAGCATTGATTGACAGCGCTAAGACCCTCCTCTTGGCTCTGATTGGATGTTTTTGAGTGGTGCATTTCTGCAGCCAGCTAGGACAACAGGGAGGAGGTGGAGGAGATCAATGCTTTCAAAGATTATCTGTCTCATATTTACCATGAGGACATAGTGACAGTTTTGATAAAAATGTAAAAAATACATTTAATACATGTAACACACTGCAGTTTAATAACCACAGACAAGGTGTCAACAGTTAAACTGACCTTACATGTTTATGCTGCTTTTCCTCTGCAGTCCATCACCGTTCAGATGATCTCCAGTGTGCAGAGATTAAGATTGACAAACACCACAAGATGGAACTGATCATGTCAAAACTTGAGTTCTTTGAGTACAGTTTCCAGAAGTGGTGCAGTGCGAGCAGCTCTAAGAAGGACATATCTGAAGTACGTCAGTCTTTAAACCATTTTCTGCACACAAACGTGGAATCTATTTTACTGGATAAATCACAGCAGCATATAAACTGAAAGCTTTGTGTTTGTCACAGGGCGACAACGCTGGAGGATGGCTGTATGGCGTTTGTGCCTTCTCTGGACATCCAGAGTGTGCACTCAGTGCACCGAGTGCTTTCATTGACATCTGTGGCTACAAGGATTGGATAGACAAAATATTGGGCAAACCATAAGAAACCTATGTCTGGATGGTGGCTAAATGTTTCCAGCATCATGAAATCACAAAGTTCAAGTTAATCTTTAAATTTAAATTTTCAGTGGATTCATTTTGTGATTTGCAGCTGAATTATTTGGGGACTAATGTTATTGTGTTCAAATTAATCAATATCTTATTTCTCAGTAAGTAAAGCTGCTGTTTGTAATAATCACTAATAATATCCACTGTCACATGACTAGAAAATAAATGGCTGTTATCTGATCAGATTGTCTCTCTTGTGCTTATTTCTGATTATTAGTGAAGAAAATAGATTTTAAATTATTGAACACATTTTTAGCTTTAAAGGCTGTTAAACTTGTCATTAAAGGGACCAAAACTAAAAACCTGCAGGATTTCATCAAGCAGTTTAGAGGACAATGCTATCAGTTTCACACCATCTGTTATTGGATGTATTCTGGTAAATCCTGATGGTTTGGAACAAAATATTTTTAAATAAATTGAATTTCGGAAACCTTCCAGGAACACGCATGAAAACCTTTTCAGAAATCAGACATTTGGGGTCTGGATGAAAAGGTGGTTGATATATTTTATGACAATTAGATATTAAAAAGACTTTGGCTGTGCTAAAAACATATGGACTATAAGTTACATAGCTGAACTCATATATCGCATAAACTGACAGTAAACCTGCAGCGTGAAGCCAGCATGGAGGCTAGCACAGAGGCTAGCAGGAGGTTAATATGGAGGCTAGCACAGAGGCTAGCAGGAGGTTAATATGGAGGCTAGCACAGAGGCTAGCAGGAGGTTAATATGGAGGCTAGCACAGAGGCT